GTTGGGGCTAGGGTCAGACCCTATTTCTTTTGGAGATGATCGCATAATATTTGGTTGAAATGGACCAAAAACTGAAAAAAAATCCAGATTTTGCAGTTACTCTACAGGTCGCAATTATAGACCAATCAAAGCAAAAGTTAGCATGGCGATAGAGCTTAGGGCTGGGCAGAAGTCTTCCAATTTTGATGGTCATCGGGTAATGTTTAGTGGGTGAAAAAGGCCACAACATTTGTGTTAAATAAAAGTCAAATTTTTCATTAAACCGCGAATTTCTTTAATCCCGGCGAAATCACAAATAGACGAACATGTCAATTCTGACCGTTACGTAGATGCCCATAGTAAATATATCGGTTATATATATAGCGAAATATATACAATGTATATACACAAAGGAAGGGGATGTTAGTTAGAATGCTTATATCTACCGATTGGCTGGACCGATTTTGACAAAGTTTGCCAATTCAGAATGCCCTCTTAAAATCTAAAAAAAATCGCATAAAAAGATACTAATAATGATGTGAATATAGATTTTGTAGTATTTTGTGAATTTTTTTTATTTTTTCATATTTTATGCGATTTTTTCAACTTGACTTATAATATTGAAGTATACATTTTCTAATATTTTTTCACCTTACAACACAGGTTGGGGTTATTATATACAAATTGCAATTATCGTCCGATCTTAACGAACATTTTCATTATACTCAGAAGGGCTGGGCCTATTGTTTTCAAAGATGTCCGCATATTTAAGAGTTGAAATGGACCAACAACAAAAAATTTTCCTGATTTTGAAGCGGTTATAAAGATCACAAATAGAAACCAAAGGACACGAAATCTCGCATATAGTTAGGGTTTAGGACAGCGGGTAGAATGGACCACCAATTGTGTGTGAAAAAATACCAGCATTACTTACAGGCGATATCCGAAATACACAATAGGCGAACTTCTGGCTTTTCAACAGCGAAATCTTCCAATATGTATTTGGACATAAGGGGCTTCTAACATATTGTAGTGTTGTAGGGTATGACATAGTCGGCCCCGCACGACTATAGCCTTTGCTTACTTGTTTTTTTTTTTTTTTTTAATTTTATTGAATAAAAGCAAAAAATGTCGGAAATAGCATCAAATATAGAATAATTTAAGATTTGTTTGAATTGGTCACCTTTGGCACGAATTATGGTTTTCAAACGGCCAATGAAACCGTCACATGCAGCCCGAATACTGCTCTGCGGTATTTTGGCCCATTCCTGGCGAAGCGCTTGCTTGAGGTGATCGACATTTTGGTATTTTTTAGTGCCAACTTTTATTTCCAAAACAATCCTGGCACAACAGTCCAACGGATTGGTATCCGTCGATTTTGGTGGCCATTGTGCACTGAATGAAGCGAGGAACCTCATTTGTAACCATTCTTGGGTGGCGCGTGCTGAGTGTGATGGTGCTGAGTCCCGTCGGGATGTCCAAGGTCTGCGACCAAAATGTTTGCGTGCCCAAGGCTTTAATACACCCTCCAAAATATTTTCGCGATAACATTCAGCTTTTATTCTGATGCCCCGATCAATTAATACGAGCGGAAAGCGACCATCGGCTGTTATGGCGGCCCGCACCATCGCCATGGCCGGCGCTTTATTTTTGTTGGCCAACCGAAGGTGCACATTTTCCGCTGACCTCTTTGGCAAGTAAACACGATCATTTTGTTTGTTTAAAAACTGCTAGACAACGAATGTTTTCTCATCGGAGAAAACCAAATTCGGCAGTTCGCCACTTTCCGCCAAGCAAAGCAACTCAAATTTAAATGATGGAGTGCTCTAACGATAGCCACTTGTTGGTTTACAGCCAAATATAAAGAAATCACACTATCACGCTTCAATTACATCACGAATAAGTGTTATACCCTCCACCATACTATGGAGGGTATAATAACTTTGTCATTCCGTTTGTAACTCATGTCAGACCCAAAAAAGTATATATGTTCTTGATCAGCGTAAAATTATAAGTCGATTTAGCGATGTCTGCCTGTGTTTTGTAATAATGCTATCTTTCGAACGAATTGAGATAGATGGCTAAAATTTTGCTCACATGTTTATTTTTCCAGTAGGCATGTTAAGTTCGTAAATGGGCCATGTAGGTCCACTTCTTCGTATGTCCCCCATATAACGGTACCTCCCTATATTCGGCATTTTGATGATTTTGATATTTCAAGTTCGAAATGGATACTACAGCCTATGACAGAAAATTATCTGTGCAGGTCCACGTCTTCGTATGGCGTCCATATAACAATATCTTCCTATATTCTGTATTTTAATGTTTTTGGCGACATCATTAACAGGAATAGTTTCAAATGTGGTATTTGAAGTTCGTAATGGATGCTACAGCCTATGACAGAAAATTGTCTATGCTGGTCCAGGTCAGGTTCACGTCGTATAGACCCCAATATAACGGCTATATTCGGCATTTTTAAAATTTTAACAGAATGTTTTAAGGATTTTATTTTTTGAAAATTTACAAATTCGTTCCGAATATTGAAAGTTCGGCCCGGCCGAACTTATTGCTTTTTAACTTGTTTTTTTTTTCCGGAAAATTCTCAACAACAATATAATGAGCTGTCACTGGAATAATTCTAACAGTTGTGGCTTTGAAATGACATCAGTCTGAAGTTGTTTGCAGTTTTTTCATCTCACCCTGTATATGTTTCATCGGATTTTTATACCCTACAACACTATGTGTTGGGGGTATTATAAGTTTGATTGGGCCAAAAATTATGTAACACCACGAAATATTGGTTTCCCACATAGGAAAGTATATATGGATCATCCTAGCTCGCCGAGCTGAGTCGATCTAGCTATGTATGTCCGTCCGTCCGTCTGTCCGTCTGTCCGTCTGTCCATGTTAATTTGTAATCACTCTACAGGTCGCAATTATGGCCCGATCTTCACGAAATTTGGAATGGAGGTCGGGGTCGGGCCAGAATAGAACCCTATTTCTTTTTGAGATGATCGCCAAATGTTTAGGGGTTGAAATGGACCAAATACTGAAAAAATGTCGGATTTTGCAGTAGCTATACAGGTCGCAATTATAGACCAATCGACGCGGAATCTAGCCTGTAGCTAGAGCTTAAGACGGGGAAGAAGACTACTAATTTGGGTGGTCATCGGATAATATTTAGCGGGTAAAATAGACCATATCTTTTGTGTTGAAAAAATTCAAAATTTTTCATTAAAACGCGAATATTTTAAATCCCGGCGAAATCACAAAGCCATGACAAGGTTACTTCTGATCTTTACATTGATGTTAACATCCAACAAATCGGATATATAGCAAAATATGTGCGATATATATGTCTATCAAAGAAGATATGCTTGAAAGATCTCTTATATGTCGAGAACGGCTGAACTGATTTCGACAGTTCTCATTAATTCAGAATGGCCTCTAGGCAGGAAAGAAAAAACGTCTAAAAAAATCGCATAAAAATATCTCTCTAAAGATGAAAATATTGATTTTGTAAAATTTTGTCATATTTTTGGCATATTTTCATTTTGAATTAAACATTTGGTAATATTTCTACAGCTAACAAAACTAAGTAGTTAGGATTTCAGGATATCATATACAGATCGCATTTATGGCCCGATCCTTACGAAATTTTGCATGGGGATAAGATGAGGGTCAGAATAGAAGCCTACTCTTTTTGGAGATGATCGCCATATATTTAGGGGTTGAAATGGACCAAAAAGCTGCAAAATTGTCGGCAGGTCGTAATTATCGCCCGATCCTCACGCACATTTGAAAGGGGGTTACCGGACACTGCAAAAGCCAAGCAGTTTTGGATGGCCATCCAAATATATTCAATGTGTGAAATAGTTTGCCAACTTTTGTAGACAAAATACGAAAATGTTCATTCCAGAGACTTTTTCGAGAATTCACAAATACTATTTCGTTAACGAATATAGTCAAATGTCTGTATCTCATATAGATGCGTTTCAGTCAAAAACCAATAATAAATGTTAATCTTTTGCCACTTCTAAGAAATTATAGGTCTTTGGGAAATATTGGTTCCAGATTTAGGAAGACCATTTCCAATAAATTGGAAATGAGCAAATTAGTTTAAGTTGCTATTTTCGAAAATTAGAGAACGAAACCTGATGGTTTTCTTTTATAATTTGTCACAATATCTTGTGGAATTATTTCGAGTATCTCGCCTATATAAACGGTATCGTTTATTATAGTGTTGTAGGGTATTCAACGGTCGGCCCCGCTCGACTGTAGCCTTTGCTTACTTGTTTAAGATCTCATTGTCTTACATTGAAAAGATAAAGTTTTCCGTGTTTGGTGGAAATCGATTCAGACTATGATATAGTTCACATATTTTAGGTTCATCGAGGTTTATACCTAAAGCCAAAACAAGCATTTAATCAGGTTCATATTTGGTAATTTTTACGGTAAACTTTAATTGGTATGAATGGCGTTGTAGGGTATCATTTGGTCGACCCGGCTTTTTTATAAAATAAAAACTTTTACTGGAAATCACTTAATAATGAAGCGTAGGTATGAACTTTGATCTAACAGTGATAGTTGACATATGTATCACTGTCTTAATACGGCACTGCAATTATTATTGCATTATAACCCTTTATATCATACTGTCAAACTTGTTGTTCCGTCATGTTCAAAGAACAATTCCCCTTGTAGGGTATTGTGGTAATAAATGTTACCAAAAAAAAGGGTACACATAAAATAGATTGAGATAAATATCCACGCCTTAGGTAAAATTACAATTATTTCCAAGAATACTTTTGAATCGTTGCGCACCAGTCGGCAAATAGAGTGCGACTCTATTGAAACTACAAAAACCTGAACTCACAAATAAATGGACAAGGAACCACACCAAGCGAATGGCATCACCACTAAATAAGATGTTTGATTTAATGACATTATTGGGCAATTTAAAAATTTTAATAATTTTATTAACAATAATTTCACAAACGCCAAACCAACAAACAATGATCATGGCCGAGGCAAGAATTGACACAGCCAAGGCTGAACCATCTGTTAATGGCGGCAATGACTATACCGTAATCGAATTCCTCAAGGACTTGAAAGATTTACATAACTACGATAATGTTCTATTGATGCACAATCAGAATACGACCATTGCAACGAAGTTCTACACCAACACCAATACCATGGCCTATGGCAATGGCAGCAGTACAGCTGCAGCGGGCAACATTAGCTTCATTGAAAAAACTCTGAATGTTGATGCCTCTGGAAGATCAACGTCACTGCCATTTGTGGCACATCTAATGCAACAGGTACAGGTGCCAGTTCTGCAATTAAACGAATGGCAACACTTTAATCTTAAACTTCGAGTGCCCGACAATTTACTGGCAATTGTTCAGATTGATATTAATGGCGGTGGTGGTGGTGCTGGTGATGGTGGCGGTGATGGCATTAAAATCACCCTGGACCATCATGCGGGTCTGTTGCAGAACTTATCGAAAAGTTTGTGGCGCATGAAGGTGGCGAAAGTGCTATTCTTGATCAATGGCCCGGCGATGATGAATGACGAAATGCTTGCCAGCGATCGCGGCAATGAAGATGTTCACTACGCTCTCGTAGAACAATTATTTCAACATTGTTGGAGGCAAAAATTACTAAATGTGGCTGCCATAATGGCCAACTATCAGGTATGAATGTGTGAAATAACTGGAATTTGTCGGTGATTAGAGAAATTAATCAACACCGATTTGAATAAGGAAATTGAATTGAGAAATTGCCACGTATTTATATATATATTGAATTTTTTTGTATTCGTTAATCTTGTGCAATCTGGGAAAAATTGTGGTGATCTAAACGAGATATTTCATGGGAACATGGGTCATGACTGATTTGAGATGAATTGTAGTTAACTCTCCTTGTGGACTGTGTGTGGGAAACTGATTCGAATCGGAGTATTTATGACTTTAGATTATAAAAATAAGAAATGCAATTATCACATTTCAATAGGAGTTATATGAGGTTTTTTTAAACCCAAGCCCAAATCTTCAATAAACCTTCTTGAAATTAGGCAGAGAAAAAATATATATTTTTATTATGTCATGGCCATATAAAAACTGTGAATGGTGAACTCTACCGCGAGAAGTTATCAAGCTCTTTTTTGCCCAAAATTCAAAAAAAAAAAAAAAATAACCCGATGCATGAGAATTATAATTGTATCTGAACCGGGTTTCAACCAATGTCACATGCTCAAATCGACAGGCATAAATGTACTTAAAATGTGATTAACTCTCTAAAATGATCAATAGTTCTATCTCATCTCCCTTTGCACGAGCATACCGAAAGTTAGAATGTAACATCTAATACCTTCCACCATTATGAAGGAACCTAAACAATTCAAAACAAATAATTCGCAAATGACACCTGGGACCTATACGAAGATGTGGTCCTTCAAAAGTAATTTTGTTTTTCCCAGGCCGTGGCACCTATTCCGAACTGCAAATACGAAATTTTAAACAATTTCGGTGAATAATGCCGTTAAAACCATTAAAATAATGAATATCGGGAGGTATCATTATATGGGGAATATAAGAAGACGTGAACCTGCATACACAATTTTTGGACATAGGCTGTAGTATCCATTACGAACTTCAAACACCAAATTTGAAACAATTCCGGTGAATAACGTTGCTAAAATCATAAAAATACCGGAGGTACCGTTATGTGGGGGCTATATTCACAGACGGGCAGGCGGAGAGACGTACAAACGAACGGACATTGCTAAATCGACATAGAATTTTATGCTGATCAAGAATATATATACTATGTGGGTCTAAAATGTATATTTCGATGTGTTACGAACGGAATGATAAACTTGGTGGAGGGCATAATAAAACAATCATAGTCAAATCAGCGATTTTCTTCAAATTTCTGGTATCTCGATATTTCTACAGTCTATAGATCTAATGTAAATATGGGGAATGTTGGCCCAAAGAAAAATTAAGAAAGTACACGACAAAAATATCATACTCGCTCTTATTCGAGTGGTATAGAAAAATGGGTTACACTCGATTTCTTTTATCTGCTCGCAAGAGTACTCCCGTTCGAATTCGAGCATTTATTACTCTATAGAACATTTTCTTCCGAAAATTTGGGAACTCTGCATGTGATACTGATACTGAATTTCAAAAACTTCAATTGAAAAAAAAAATAGAGAAACCAAATAGCGAGATGTATAAGGGTCATTAATAGCAGATGGCGATTAATAGCAGATTCGGTTGAACATATATCTGAAACCACAAAAGTAGCTTTAATTGGGTAGTAACCTTATATTGGGTCTATAATAAATCTGAAGCTATATGGCCAATTTTCAATATTATAAAAATATTAGTCAAATGCCCACCAATAGCACCCTTGCAGGACTTCACATAAATTTTTATATAACCAAATCCCAGAGTAACTGCCTTATGTCATTGATGGCTTCATCTTTTAGATCCTACATTGTAGCGCAGACCTTTTCTTTCACATGGGTTCAAATGAAGATATCGCAAGGTTCTAAATCATAAGATATCTGTGACTAATTGTGGTCACCTTTTCGAAATATGACAATTTTCCCTAGGTAAACATAAACTTTGATAAGGATAAGGACAAATACCATCCAATTTCAAGCAGAAAATTCATAAAAATCTCTTTATAACTTAACTTTTGATTCCTTAAAACCGTGGTAACGTGCACGGATTTTGCCAGCAATATCTTTATGGCTGTGCTTCGCGTCGACCCAAAAAGTTTATTCCCTTTAACGTAGCATGCGGGTTATAGTAAGTTTGTCCTTCCGTTTCTAACACCTGGAAATATACCATATACAAATTGAATATATTTCTATTCGGCAAAAATTCCATGTCGATTTAGCGATGTCCGTCGGTCTATCTGTCTGTCCGTTTGTGGAAGTAACTCTAGATTCCGAATGAAATGGAGTAGGTTGATAACATTTCATTCAGATGTGTATTTGTTTTGCAGTTTTTTTGTATTAAAAATAGGGTACATAGGTCCACGTTTGGTATATCCCCCATATAACTGTACCGAAAGATTTTTGTTTCTTTTGCCTGTCATCCAAATTTGCTGTAAATTGGCAGTATGTAACATGTACCTCCTGATATTCGGTCTTTTTAAGATTATAATTACATTTTTCAACAGAATTAAATCAAACTTGGTATTTAGAGCTTGTCTTAGGCACCGCATTCTCAGGCATACAATTAAGGAAAAAGGTACACATTTTCGTGTAATTGGTATCTCCAGATATTCGGCATTTCGGAACATGTTTGAGAAGCCACACACTTCGAATTTCTAAAAAAAAAACTAATAGCTTGTTTTCATCACAGTAAGTTAACGAATGATCTGTGAAATTTCAAGAAAATCGGTTCAGTAATTGTTGAGTCCATAAGTAACATAGAAACTGACAAACAAACATAATTACACACATACAAAATTGAGTTTTATGGATATACAGGGTTGCCCATATTCGACGGACCCATCTGGCAACGCCATAACTTTTGACATAGATGTCACATCGCTTAATGACATTCCGCATTTGAAGCGGCAGTCCAAGCAGATTTTTACCATGAACCAATACACGCCACGCGAGCGCTCTGAAATAGTTGAAATTTACATTCAACAGAAGAAGCCAATTGTGAAAACTCAACGTCCTTTTAAAACATTAAAAAATGTGAGAAGTGCGCCTTCTAAGAACACCATTAAGCGTTTATACGAAAAATTTTCGAATGGTAAGGCTCTTTCTAATCCGAAGAGGCCATATAAAAGTCGGCCAAGGCGATCGGTCGAGAATATCGCTGCCGTACGAGCCAGTGTTGAGATGTCCCAAGAACATCCCAAAAACGCCGTTCTCAGCAGTTGGGCATGGCTCGGTCCACTTTACAACGGATTATTCGCTTTGATTTGCATTTGTTCCCGTACAAAATTCAATTGACGCAAAGAATGTTGCCTGCGGACAAGCCTCGTCGATTGGCCCAAAAGAGTCATCGAAATGGCCGAAGATGACGAGCAATTTTGGAACAAAATTATCATGTCCGATGAAGCCCATTTCACATTGAATGGGACCGTAAATAAGCAAAATTGCCGTTTTTACGCCACTGAAAATCCTCAGGAGATTCAAGAAGTCCCACTTCATGACGAAAAAGTCACAGTTTGGTGCGGCGTTAGTGCGAAAACGGTCATTGGACCGTTTTCCTTCCAAAATGAAAATGGCCATGCTGTAACCATCAATCAGGAGCGTTATCGCGACATGATGACCAATTTTGTGATGCCAATTATTCGTCAAAAGCGTATGAGAAAGTTCTGGTTTCAACAAGACGGCGCTCCACCGCACACAAGTCACATAACAATCATTTTTTTGTGCAGCAAAAAGGGCACAATACGTCATCAACGCCAGAGGCGGCCATTTGAGAGATATCATATTCTAAAATTGATGTAAACAAATCTACTTGGAACAAATTAAATGATTAACATTGCCAACCGCCAAATTTTTATTTTTTTCTTTGATTTAAAAAAAAACATGGGTCCGTCGAATATGGGCAACCCTGTAGATTTTAAGATTTCATTTCCTAACTTTAGTTTGTTAAATGACCTTTTTGGCAAATATAGTTTATTACAAATATACAATATTTTTCGACGAAATTCGGTTTAAATTTAAAATCAACATTCATCAAATTTTTGAAATTAAAATATTAGTACGGTAGCAAAATACATTCGAAATACAACTGAAAAATGAAGACCATGTTTTAGAACTAAAATAAATTTATAAGTATTTATAAAACAGCTGACCGGTCTCTTTCAACAAATCAGCCACGCTTTTATTCTCTATTTTTAGAAAACAAAAATACTTTACCGCTTCAACCCCTTTCCTGAGTTTCAAATGGAAACCGTTCCGCTGGCAATTGATCGAACACAGCAACAAGAAGAAATCTATCCACAACGTTTGGACAACCTCCTGGGCTACAATATGAACGTTGTAATTGGTGGTTCCGATCCTCGTATAATTCCCTATGAAAAGAATGGTAAATTATTCGTTGGTGGATTTGTGGGTCACTTTGTGCTGGCATTTGCCAAACGCTACAATTGCACGTTACAGGAACCTCTGCCTTATAATCCAAAAATTCCGCTACCCAGCCAAGAACTAATGAGAGCGGTGCGTAATGGTACAGTGGAATGGTCTTCGGGTGTTACTTTCCCTGAAATACCCTTTAGGGGTTACACCTACCCTTATGAGATCATCAATTTTTGCCTTATGATACCAGTGGAAGCTGATATTCCGGGTTATGAGTTTTTCACCTCCGTCTTTAAGGGTGAGACCTACGTTTTCTTCATTGTGACGCTGGTGATAATTTCCATGGTTTTGAGTGCCGCCTTGTTTATTCACGGTTATAGGCCAGATTTGTTTGACATAATTTGCCATGATGATTGTTTGAGAGGCATGTTGGGACAGTCCTTTAGCGAATTGAGAAATCCACCAGGCATTGTTCGGGCCATTTATTTGGAAATATGTATTTTGGGCATATTGCTGACCACGACCTATAATGCTTACTTTTCCACCTATGTCACTAAGGCACCTAAGACGGCCCCCATAAACACTTTGGATGACATCATGGCTTCCGGTTTGAAAAACATTGTCTGGGAGCCGGAATATAACGAGATTCTATCGAGGGTGCCGGAATTTAAGAGATATGCCCCCATATTTTTGGTGGAACCAAATTATCGAAAATATTTGGAACTCCGGGAATCCTTTAATACCCACTATGGCTACATTGTGCCCACCACCAAATGGACAATTGTCACTGAGCAGCAGAAAATCTTTACAACTCCGCTGTTTAAACAAAGGCCAAGCTTTTGCTTTTACAACAACATACCAATGTGTTTTCCGATTCATGAAAATTCACTTTTCATTGAGTTGATGTATAAGTTAATGTTGGAAGTCTCGCAATCGGGTTTGATGAATATGTGGATGGAGCATGGATTTTTGGAGCTAATTCAAGCTGATAAATTGCAACGCTCCGATTTAAGTCAAAAGAAGGAATTTGAAGCAATGACAGTTGATGATCTGCTGTATATTTTTATATTTTTGGCGGTGATGTTTGTTTTTGTCGTTCTGGTATTTATTGGAGAATTTGTGGTGTATTATCGTGAGCAGATATGGAAAGGGTTGCAGCGACCTTTTGAAAAATGTTGTAGACCTTCGGAAAATAAAAGGGCTGATATAATGAAGAAGGAGTATGAAGTTACTGGACATCAACTGAGGAGATTTAAGTGAAGTAATATTAGAGCAACGTAAAAGCAATGAAGGAAAAACACTCAACACAATCGTACTTATAAATATGCACAATAAAAATTGAAAGATATCACAATAAATATTTGAAGAGATCGACATAATTGTATAGATGTAGTTCAATGCGTTTTACGATTGTATAGAAGGAGTGAACCAAAATATCTATTATACATATGTTTAACAGAAATATTGAAATACTTGAAGCTCGTTGACTTGTTTCTCATGTTATGAGAGACAAAATTATTCAAACTTTGCCCCTTTGTGGGGAAGGCACCAGAAAGAGTGAACCAATAAATTCCATCTTTACACCAGATCTTGTGTCAGTGGAAATATTGAAATGTATGAAGCTTAGAAAGAACCGGATGCTTATTTCGCATTATATGAGAGATTGAATTATTCCAAAATTTGACCCATTACCAGATAGAGTGAACCGATATATCCCATCTCCACACTGATACTGTTTAAGTCGAAATCTTGAAATGTGTGAAATTGGAAAAGGATTGGATGCTCAATTCGCTCTTTATGATTGTATTAGTTATTCAAAATGATGATCCTCTCTGGGGGAGGTACAAAAATGAATGGGCCGATATGTACCATCTTCACAACGGATCTTTTGTTGATAGAAATATTGGAATGTTACGAATTCGAAAGGAATCGAATGCCCATTTAGCGTTTTATGAGCTTCATGACTATTTAAAATTTTGACCCGTTGTGGGGAGGTACTAAAAGCAGTGGACCGATATATCCCATATCACACAAGATTTTGTGTTAAGAACAATATTTGCATGGTTGTAATTTGAAAACTAATAAAGAAAGTCTTAAAGTCGGGAGGGGCCGACTTTATGATACCCTACACCACTTTGCTAATTTAGTTGAGCTCCACTTAATAATTAAAGTTTTTATGGGAGAGTTCAATCATACACGCTATGATTATAATTTAAAATTCAAAGGACTAAACGTGCCAAAGCATTTGTATCTTTTAAATTCGGACTTGTATTGCCCATTTGGTACACAATTAATTTGAAATCGGATAGAGATATATATGGGAGCAAAGATATTTCTGAGCTGTATTTGATATATTTCCCTGAATATCCTTGTTACGGAGTGCATATTACGGCTGTAGGTAACAAATACAACAAATCGGATGAACAATATATATGGGAGCTATAGCTATATCTCAACCGATCTTCACCAAATTTGGCATACTACCTTCTAGACTAAATTCGGTGGCACAATTCCATCCCATTTGGGCAAATATTAGACATTTGGTGCACAATAAAAGGTAAATCGGACGAAGTTATATATGGGAGCTATATCCAAATCTGAACCGATCTCGATAAAATTCAGCAAAGGTATTTCTGAGCTGCATTTGATATATTTCCCAAAATATTGTTGTTATAGAGTGCATATTACGGCTGCGGAGGACAAAAATAACAAATCGGGTGAACAATATATATGGGAGCTATAGCTATATCTGAACCGATTTCGATCAAATTTGGCATACTTATTTTCAAGCCTAAAAATTTCATACTATTCGGGCTGATATTACACGTTTGGTGCACAATAAAAGGCAAATCGGACGAAGATATATATGGGAGCTATATCTAAATTTTACCGATTATCTCCAATTTCAATAGGGTTCGTCCTTGGGCCAAACAAATGTTGTTTGCAAAGGTTCATCTCAATCGGATAATAAATGCGACCTGCATTTTGTTCACAAGAATACATGGACAGACGGACGGACGGACAGACGGACTGACATGCATAAATCAACTCAGAAAGTGATTCTATGCAGATCATCAAAAGGAACTATGGGTCTATCTCGTTCCTTTTGCCTGTTACAAACAAATGCACAAAGACATAATACCCTGACCACCTTGTGGTGTAGGGTATAAAAATACCAACATTACTTACAAGCGATAACCGAAGTTCACAAAATGCAACTTCTGGCATTTTATACCCTACACCACAAGGTGGTCAGGGTATTATGTCTTTGTGCATTTGTTTGTAACAGGCAGAAGGAAACAAGATAGACCCATAGTTCCTTTGATGATCTGCATAGAATCACATTCTGAGTCGATTTATGCATGTCCGTCCGTCCGTCCGTCCGTCCGTCTGTCCATGTATTTTTGTAAACAAAGTACAGGTCGCATTTATTGCCCGATCCAGATGAAATTTTGCAAAGATCTTTTGTTTGGCCCAAGGACGAACCCTATTGAAATTGGAGATAGTCGGTCAAAATTTAGATATAGCTCCCATATATATCTTCGTCCGATTTGCCTTTTATTGTGCACCAAACGTGTAATATAAGCCCGAATTGTATGGAATTTTGCATATACACCCAAATTAGGCCTGAAAATATGTATGCCAAATTTGATCGAAATCGGTTCAGATATAGCTATAGCTCCCATATATATTGTTCATCCGATTTGTTATTTTGTTCACCGCCGCCGTAATATGCACTCTGTCACAACAATATTTGGGGAAATATATCAAATGCAGCTCAGAAATACATTTGCTAAATTTTATCGAGATCGGTTCAGATTTGGATATAGCTTCCATATATAACTTCGTCCGATTTACCATTTATTGTGCACCAAACGTCTAATATTTGTCCAAGTGTGATGGGAATTTGGCACTTACGACCGAATTGAGCCTAGAAGCTAGTGTGTCATCGGTTCAGATATGCCAAGTTTTATGGAGATCGGTTCAGATTTGGATATAGCTCCCATATATAATCTTTATCCGATTTCAAATTAATTGTGCACCAAATGGGCAATACAATTCCGAATTTAAAAGATACAAATGCTTCGGCATATTAGTCTTTTGAACTTTAAATTATAATTATAATCATAGCGTGTATGATTGAATTCTCCCATAAAAACTTTTAATTGTTATGTGGAGCTCTACTTAATTAGCAAAATGGTGTGTGTATCATAAAGTCGGCCCCGCCCGACTTTAAGACTTTCTTATTGGTTTATGCTGATTTCGT